GTTGGTTGGGGCGTGGTTACCTGGCGCAGGTTCGAATCAGGAATTGTGTGAGGGCAGGGTGAGGCGTGTGCCTGAAATGCGGGATGCGGGGAGATTCAGCATTTCAGGGGACACGCACCACCAAAGTCTCCTTGGCAGGCTGTTGTAGTCGAAAACCTACTGGTGCCCATTCCACACCATGCACCCGCCCTCACAAACCTGTGTCATCCACCCGCACCCGCACCCCTCCGCTCTTTCCTCCTCTTCAACACAACGCTCCACACCCCCTCCCCCCGGTTGAAAACATCCAAAGGGCGGCTGAGCTCAAGTACGGCACCCTGAACGACCTGCAGCGCCAGCTCAAGGCGGCAGAGGCCGCGCTCGCCGCCAGGGCGGGCGGCGAGAAGCTGCTCAAGGAGGAGGTGACTGAGGCGGACATTGCGGAGGTCATATCGCGCTGGACCGGCATCCCCATCACGCGCCTGGTGGGCGGGGGGCGCGGGGCTCAAGTCGGCAGGGGGGGGGGCAAGCTTGCATGGGCGTGCGACCGGGGATCCGTCGCTGTCGGGTGCGCGGCAGCGTGGTGGGGGTCACGAGCGAGGGCTTAGCTGTACGGCCGGAACGGCTGGGACGTTGCTGAGGTGGTGTCCCGCATGCGGCTGGGGAAACGCGGGCCGCGCGGCACTCCCCCTCGCCTGAGAAGCCGGAGAGGGCCACGCGACCCATGTCCCAACCTCAGACCTTGACGATCACTGGCCCCAACGCTGCGCTCAACTTCTCCCCTGCACGACTCAAAGCATCCTCTGTTCTCTCCCTCAAACACCATCGCCCACCTCAGGCCCAGTCAGAGCGTGAGAAGCTGCTCGGCCTGGGTGACGAGCTGCACAAGCGCGTGGTGGGGCAGGACGAGGCTGTGACCAAGGTGGCGGAGGCGATCCAGCGCAGCAGGGCCGGGCTGTCAGACCCCAACCGCCCCATCGCATCGTTCATGTTCCTCGGACCCACCGGTGAGGGCGGGGAGCGAGGGGTCACCTCCGAGGGCGCGCAGCAGCGCAGGTTGCCTCTGGGCTTGCACGCGCCGCCGCGCCTTTTGGACACCCCACTTACTCAGGCGTTTGGATGGAGCGGACCATGAAACCGCCCGGCCGGCTATGGTGTCTGCAGCTCTACGTTGGCTGCCAGTTGTGACGAGCTCGTTCCGCGAGCAGCGTCCCGTGCCTTCAATCTCACTCCGCTTTCTGTACGACCCGCAACCCCTGTCCACCCCCCAGGTGTGGGCAAGACGGAGCTGGCCAAGGCCCTGGCGCAGCAGATGTTTGACACTGAGGAGGCCATAGTGCGCATAGACATGAGCGAGTACATGGAGAAGCACAGCGTCAGCAGGCTCATCGGGGCACCCCCGGGATACGGTGGGTTTTGGGGGGGGGGGGCTGAGGGGAGGTTTCAGGGTGAATGTGTTTGGCACGGGGGAGTTGCGGGCGCTGGCGGGGCACTCCGCAGGGGGCGACTGTTTGAAACGCGTGCGTTGGCAGGCAGGTCTGGCGGGGACGCGGTCAGCAGCTGGGGCAGCGATGGATTAAGTTGGCTGCCAAGTTTGCAACACCCGCACCAGCTGGTCTTGCCACGCTCGCCCCAGTCGGTTTCATTGTCAGCATTACAACTTTTGCACGCCACGCCCTCCCCTGCGCTCGCCTGCCTCTGCAGTGGGCTTTGACGAGGGCGGCCAGCTCACGGAGGCGGTGCGGCGGCGGCCCTACAGCGTGCTGCTGTTTGACGAGGTGGAGAAGGCCCACGCTGACGTGTTCAACGTGCTGCTGCAGGTGGGCTGGGTGGAAAAGGGGGGGATTGATTGTGTGTGAGGATGGGGGTTGGCAGGGCAGGGCTACATGCTGGGGGCTTCTGCGGCTGGCCTTCAAGCAAGTGTTGCCTGGCTGCGCGCTATGCTCAACGCATCGCCCTCCTGCCACCGCCAGCCCTTCTCCTGCTCACCTTGGTGCTCCATGTCACCCCTCCGCGTCCCACAGCCTACAAACCACAACACATCCAGCTCCCACCCCGCACAACCCTGAGCTCACCCCCTCATTCACACACATCAACACTCACGCACATGTGCGCATGCGTGTGTGCATACACACATACCCTCACAAACTGCACATCCACAAATGCGCACTCACATTCTCGTACTTACACTCATTCTCACCTTCCCCCCCCCCCACAGATCCTGGACGACGGCCGCGTGACCGACAGCCAGGGCCGCACAGTGTCTTTCAAGAACGCCGTCATCATCCTCACGTCAAACCTCGGCAGCTCCGCCCTGCTGGAGGCCGAGCTCCTGGGGGACCACGCGGCGGCCAAGGCTGCGGTGATGGCGGCGGTGCGGTCGCACTTCAGGCCTGAGTTTGTGAACCGCATCGACGAGTTTGTGGTGTTCGACCCCCTCAGGATGGACCAGATCAAGGCCATTGTCAAGCTGCAGGTGGGAGGGGGCGCGCGGGAGGGGTTGTGTGTGGTGCCTTTGGGGCAGGCCTGGTGTCGGCTTTGGCGCATGGTTTGCTGTGAGTAGGGAAGGGAGCGACCGCCCGTGTTCGGTGATGTGGGGGCTCGAGGGTGGGTGTGGGCGAGCGGCGGCTAAGGCATGGAGAGGTTTAAGAGGTCGCATGAAGCTGCAGGCTTGCGGCCTGCTTGATGCAGCCTCAGGGAAACAGGCATGACGTGATTGCTGGCGCAACAGTGCTCATGGTGTTCCGCTCCAGCTCGCCGAGTTCACTGCACAAGTGCGCTTGCAAAGCACGCCCACCAACCGGCGCCCCAACATAACAAACCTCGCGCCCCCTGCCCCGCAGGTGGACCGCGTGGCGCAGCGCCTGGCGGCCTCGCGCAAGATGCGGCTGCAGCTCACTGACGCCGCCCTGGAGTACCTGGCCAACCAGGTGGGCGCCCAGGGTCTTGGGGCTTGCACGAAGGATGCCTGCAGGGGGCTTCTGGATGTGTCCAGGGCGCGGGCTTGGTGGGGAAACAGATGCGGGCTTGGTGGGGAAACAGATGCGCAAAGGGACAGGAAGTAGCGGTCAATGGCGTAGAGGTCAGAGACTGCTGGATCTGGGGCTGTGCGAAGGCCGTGGCGGCCCCCAAGCTTGGGATCGCCACCCGCATGTCACCCCGCCGCTGTCGTCCTGGAAGCCCTGTCCGAAGGCGCCGCGATTGGCTCTGCTTCCCAGGCCACCGCCCTGAGCCGGGGTGCCACGTTCACCGGTTGAAGATAATCACACACTGTTCTCGCCCTTCATTAAGCGACACACTTCTGACGCACCAAACCCGCCACTCCCGAACACGCCGCCCTTGCCCTCAAAGGGCTTCGAGCCCGTGTATGGCGCGCGGCCCGTGAAGCGCGCCGTGACGCAGCTGCTGGAGACGCCCATTGCGCGCGCCATCCTGGCGGAGGAGTTTGTGCCCGAGGACACCATCGAGGTCGACCTGGATGAGTCAGCGCCGCAGGGCGGCCGCCTGTTGCTGCGCAAGGGGCCCAAGGCGGCGACGGCGTCGGTTGACTTTGCCATGGCGCGGGGTTGATGGTCGCTCCGGATTGGGAACCCATGGGCTTGCGTCGCTGCAAATAGGCAAGACAGCAAGCCTTGATGGGGGAAGGGAACAAGGGCGTGCTGCCATTCCAGACGCGGTGCTTCGTGCTGCGTTCTGCGCCTGTGGCGGACACGCCGACGTCAGCCGCACATTATCACGTCTTGACGGTGTATACCGCCGCGCAGACATGCATGCAGCTGCATGAATTGTCAATCAGCGACATCTTGCGCGTCCAGACGCTGCGCATGCGTGTGTCTCCAGTTGCGTGTCGTCACCCATGGCGCCCATGCACCATGGGCCGCCCTGTTTGCATGGCTTTGTCCAGCTTCAGCTGTTTGCTAGCCAACATATCCTGCAATGTTGCTTCGGTGTTGAAACCAACGGAGCGCGGCCGGACACCGCCACAGGCCGAAGATCCCCCTGTTGAGATGTCCTAAGAACCCCTGAACCGCACACACGCCAGGGCTGACGGCCGCAGCACGCGCACGCCCGCGTGCGCTTGATGTGGCAGCCTCTTTTCCGGCTCTGAACGGGCAGCACGCCATGCCACCCACAGATTCGAACGGATGGGTCATTCTTTTCTGTGTTCGCATACGTCAACATAACAGCAAGAGTAACAGGACAACAAAGACAGTGTGCGGGTTCTCTGTGCAGGTGCTCTTGCAAGTGCACTTCTACAGAAAAGCTGGCTGTTTTGCACACCAGCTGGCAGCTGAGGGCGGGAGCCGCCGGCCCGCATGGAATATCTCCTGCCGCAATTTGCTGAGTTGCATGCAGCGACAAAGCTGAGCGGCAGCTCAATGCCACATGAGCTCTGTTGGTCCCGCCCAAAGATTACAAAGGTCGTGTTGCGCAAGATGCCGCCCGAGGCGCTGGGCTGGGGGAGTGGCACGTGCCCCCTCCTCTAGCCGCGCCTGCGGCAAAGCCGTTCTTGAACGACGCTGCATGCTCAAAACTGGCCCCTAAAACAGCTCCAAGGGATGCACCCAACACGGCTCTAAAGGGGCACAAACAAGCCGCAAGAGCGTGGTAACGTGCTGTTTGCTGTGAGAATTGCAATGGCCTGCCCACCTCAACAGGAGTGGGGCAGGGGCCATTTTCACGCACGCAGGAAATTAGCCATGAGCCCCCGTCATGCCGTCGTACGTGTGATTCCCGTTGGCACGTGCCCCTCAGAAGAATGGGGGCAGCATGATCCAGCGCCGCGGGTACTTGGGACGGCCGTCCTTGCCGTCAAACAGCTGCGGGGTAGGGGCGGCCGGGAACGGAGCCGGGTCGGATTCCAAGGTGATAGAGGTTGGCCTGGAGCGTCCTCGATGCAACAGGGGATGGGAGGGCACTCAAGCATGCACCGTCGCCGCCGATGCTCATTCAGACTCTAGCGCCGCGCGCCCCGGACAACACGCGTGCCGCCTCCTCCTATCTCCCCTCGTATGCCGCACCTTGACGAGGCGCTTGTGCTTGCCCTGGGCCCAGACAGCCATCTGGTAGGCGCCCGCGGCAGTAAACAGGAAGCCCGACACGGTCTGGTGAGGGGAGGCGGGTGTGGGGGCGCGGCAGCAGAATCGTCAGCCTGATGAAAATGTTTCCGATGAGCGACACGTCAAGCCACGGGCAGCTGCTTGGGTGGGCACTGCGGGCAGCGACACAAAATCCACCTGCATGCGGCGCTCTCCAGAGGCCTGGTGGGATTTGAACCCCCTGGGTTGCGCAAGAGGCACACACGCACGCGTGCGCACACGCTCACACACACATTCACACGTTTGCATACATACACTCACGCTCAAGCACACACACACGCTCAACACGCACATACAAACACACACTAAATCGCAACGCCGAGGCACCGCGCACACACATTCGCTCTCACCTGTGTCGCCAGGCTGAAGCAGACCCACCCCATGATCTCCGCGAAGTAGTTGGCGCAGGTGATGTAGTTGAAGAGGAAACCAGCCGGGATCTTGTAGCCCTTCTCCCCGGGCTTGCGCAGGTTGGCCAGGATGATGTGGCACCTGCAGGGGGAGAGGGAGCGGGGTTTGTGAGTGCTCGCGCAGCGTCGTGTGGTGGGAGGTCAGGCTGGTGTGTCGCGAGAATGCTCTCCAGTCCTCTTGCTCCCTCTCCCCCTTCAGAGCCGTGCGCTCACACCCAATCACAACGGCGCATACACCCCCCTTACACACACACACACACACACACACACACACACCATAAACACATATTCACTCGACCACAAACAAACACGTTCATGCGCAGCTCGAATCGTTCCACACGCACGTGCACAAGCCCCCACCTGAGGTTTGAGAGCTGGAAGATGAGGGCCAGCGCAAAGAGCACGAGGCTCTGCGTCTCAGGGGGCGTGGTGTACTGGGGGTGGTTGACAAAGTAGGCCACGTAGGCAGCGAAGCCGTAGTAGTAGGAGCAGTTCTTGAAGAGGTTGAAGATCGGCATGGTGTCGTGGCCAAACCTGGGGGAGGGTGCGACAGGATGCACATGAGGGGGGGGGGGGGGCAAGGGATAGGGTCATCAGTGCACGTACCGGCTGGCAGCATGCGCATTGCGCTTGTGGCGCGCTCTGCACCCTGGCTACTGGCCGCTGATTGGGTCGCAGCTGCAGGCCTCGCTGCTGCTGGCCTCGCTGGTGTGCGTGCGGCGGTCACCCCATGCCCAAACAAGCATAGGCACAAGCACACACACACACACACACACACACACACACATACGCACACACACTCTCTCTCTCCAACTCACACGTGGACGAAGAAGGTCTCAAAGATGCGCTTTGCGTAGTGGAACACCCAGTAGGCGCACGCCACCTTCTGCACCAGGGTCTTCTCAGGCACCCTGCAGGGGTCGCGTAATGCAAGGGGTTGAGGGTTGCACGCCGCTGAGACCAAGGGTGCGTGCACTGAGGGGTTGCGGGAAGGCACGGGGCGAGAAAGGAAGGGCAATGGCTGCATGAATGTGTGGGCTGTCAGCCTCCACAACAAGAGACAAGCCACTGCTGCTGGCCGCGCTGCAAGTGCCCCCACCCCTGCAATCCACACCGCATGCCCTGCCAGCCCGCAGGCCCCTCACTTGTCGGCCCAGGGGTAGAAGATCTGGGGGAAGAGGAAGAAGGCAGGGTATATCACCATGGGGCCAAAGTACTCGAAGAAGAACACTGTGGAGTAGCCAATCTGGGGGGCAGCGCGGTGGGAGGAAGGTGTGTGAGGGCATGGCCGAGGGTGGGGGCTGCGTGAATTCAGGAGAGCCCCAGCCTTGGGGGCCGGGCGCTGCCGCCGGAGGGGAGGGCAACGCCCGTGCGGGCTCCGTCTAGCCGCCGCTGCCGCCGCCGCCGCCGCTCACAGCGCAGCTTCGTCATCGGCAGCCCTGGAAAGGGCCAGCCAGCTACTGTACCAGTGCAGCCACGCATTGCGTTTACGCCCTGCAGCGCTTTGTCCGAACCAAGCTGCCTTATGCGATAGCACATGATGGAATGCCCCAGGCCTGCAGCACCGTCCTCGGCAGATGCGAATGATGCGGCGAGCAGCTGCGCCGGTCCCTGCATTGGCAGCGGCTGACTGCCGGTCAACTGGCCGGTTGTGGCACAGCCCCCATTCGCCACACCTGCGTGCCCAGATCCTTGAAAAGCACGACAGAGCCGTCCTTGAGGCCGACAGATTCAAGGGTGGCGCCATCTTTGAGCACGTCGCCGCTCTTGGCCCCAGGTGGGGGCGGCAGCGTCAGGCGCTGGCGCGCGGGATAGAGGGCGCTCTTGGCCTTGTGGATCTTCTTCTTCAGGTCGCTCACGGTGGCCTGCGTGTCATTGAAGCCGTCGTCAGGACCGCTGCGCCGAACTGGAGGCACAGTTGGCGTGGTGGTGGGGCAGCAAGCACCGCACCGTGGAGTCGAGCTGCACGTCGGTGACGGGCTTTCCCGAACGGCTTTGAACCTTGACCGTAATCACCGCCATTGCGGCTGCCCTAGGCCCTCTCCGCGACGACGAACAAGGTGGTTGGGCGATCTACAGTGATGTCGGATAAGTAGCAACGCGGAAAGCCTTTGTGATGGAATTGTGGTTATCCAGGATTCCCGCCCCGATAGGTAGCCAGCGGTTATCACACGAACCGGGCACCTAGCTGCTCACTAGCACAACAGTACACACTTGGCCGCGCGGCAGCCCCGGCATCGTGCGGTATTATGTTTTGAATGTGGGCACGTGCTGATTTCCGACAAGCAGTCGTCTCATAGGATAGCCAAAACGGCTGTGTGGATCTGTCGCTGCTCCACACTCCATCAAAGAACTGTGCAGGCCAGTAGTTTGCACTGCAGCGAGTTGGCTGACAGTATGCTGTTCGGCGCATTGAGGGCCGGCGGGCTGTCGTGCGGCCTGGTCCGCGGACGCGCCGTCGGCAAGCCGCCGCTCGCCTTGGTGCTCCACGCCCGCCGCCGCGCCTCTGCCGCACCCCGTCGCCCCGCCGCCGCCCCGTCGTCCGCGCCCTCGGCAGCGGCGCCTCCGCTAGCCCCGCCGCCGCAGCGGCTGCCGGTGACCGTCCTGTCGGGCTTCCTGGGCGCCGGCAAGACGACGCTGCTGCGCCACGTGCTCTCAAACAACGAGGGCCTCCGCGTCGCCGTCCTGGTCAATGACATGGCCGACGTCAACATAGACGCCCGCACGATCTCTGACCACCCCTCCGACGCCGCCGCACCCGCCGGCGCGCCCGCCGGCTTTGCCGCCGCGCCCGAGCGGCTCGTGGCGCTGTCGAACGGCTGCATCTGCTGCACCATCCGCGAGGACCTGGTGAGGGAGGTGCGCGCGCTGGCGGAGGCGGGGCGCTTTGACTACCTGGTGGTGGAGAGCACCGGCATATCCCTGCCCATGCCGGTGGCGGCGACGTTTGCGCACGACGGCGAGGGCGGCGGCGAGGACGGCGGCGGCTCGGGCGACACAGAGACAGCGGCAGCGGCGGGCCCCGCCGGCGGCCTGGCGGGCGTGGCGCGGCTGGACACGCTGGTGGGTGGGCCGCGTGGCGGGTCGAAGCCGCTCGCTGTACCCCTGGAAATGCCTGGGCGCTATGCTGCATGGGAGGCTGGCACGTGCTGTTTGACCACGTGTCCTTGTTGCGTGCACCCGCACAGCCCAGCTTCCAGGTGTTCGGCCGCACAGCTTGGGCCCACGCGCGGCCCCCGTCCGACCGCCGCCTCGCACGCGCCAGGTGACAGTGGTCGACGCGGAGCGCTTTGTGGGCGAGGTGCTGGCTGCGGAGGGCCTGGCGGAGCGAGGGCTGGGCGCTGACGAGGCGGACGACCGCACCATAGCGGACCTGCTGATAGAGCAGGTGCGCGTGACAAAGCTGCTGTGGAAACCGCGTGCAGCAAGGTGGGGTTCGCGCGCACCTTGTTGGTTGGTTGCGGCAAGAACTCAACAAATGTCCTCAACCGAGATTACGGTATATGCCACTGGCAGAGTGATCTGCACGCTGGTGGCGGCATCGGCTGCGTACCGCCCACCCCTGGTTCCCGCCACCTGAATACCTCAAAGGTCGAAACTGCGGACGTGCTGGTGCTCAACAAGACGGACCTGGTCAGCCCGCAGCAGCAGGCGCAGCTCAGGGCACTGCTGGCCAAGCTCAACCCGGCCGCCAAGGTGGGGGCACGCCCGCGCGGCCCGAGTAGGCCGCGCCCTTGCCTGCGCTGCGAGGGCATCTGCAGCAGCACCACACTGCTTATACTGGTAACAGCGGTGCACCCCCATCTGCGGCTGCACTCATCCCGCCTCGTCCACCCTCACTCATCCAATCTCATGCCTGACCCTGCATTCATCGTCGGCCCCGACCCTCCATTGCCAGCTCGTCGCCACCAGCCACGGCCGCGTGTCGCCGTCCGAGGTCCTCAACACGGGGGCCTTCAGCCTCGAGCGCGCCCAGGCGGCCCCCGGCTGGCTGCGGGAGCTCAACGCTTTCGAGGCGGAGATGCACGAGGCCAGGGCGCGCCCCGCGGCGGGCGGCAGCAGCAGCAGCAGCAGCGGCGGGCAGGGCAGTGGGGCAGGGGCGGCGTCTGTGGAGCGCGACGGCGGGGCGGCTGCCAGCACCAGCGGCCACTACGACGACCACGACCACGCTCACCACCACCACCATCATCATCACAAGGGCGAAGCCGACGAGTACGGCATCAGCAGCTTTGTGTACTATGCGCGCCGCCCCTTCCACCCCGGCCGCCTGCTGCACGATGCCCTCAGCCGGCAGTGGGGCGGCGTGCTGCGCAGCAAGGGGTTCTTCTGGCTGGCGACGCGGCACGACGTGATGGGCCTCTGGCAGTCGGCGGGGGGCGCGTGGCAGGGGGAGCCCAGGTGCGGGGCTGACGGGTTTGGAGGGAAGGAGGGGGCAGCAAGATCTGGGGCTGGCGGGATTAAGGTCTTGGTCAGAGCAAGGGTGGGGTTGGGGGCTGCATGATGGCCGCGAGCAGGCTACCGTGCTGGTGTGTGTCTTGTGTGTGCACGCAAGGGTGGGGGCACGTGCGCGCGCGTGTGTGCGGTTGCAAGCATGTCTGAGGGCGCGCGCGCGCATGTGTGTGTGGGTGTGTGGGTGTGGGTGTACGCACACGCACGCAAGCGCACGTGCGCGTGATTGCGTGTGATTGTGAGTGAATCATGAAGTGGTCCTGCCTGCTGAGGCGCCCTCCCTGGCCGCCGCCACATGACGGCCGCCCTGCGCCCCGCCCCCGGCCCGGCCCCGCAGTGCCCTCTGGACGGCCGCACTGCCCAAGTCTCAGCGGCCGCCCGGCTGGCAGGACGACGCGGCTGCAGGCGGCTGGCACGAGCGCTGGGGCGACCGGTGCCAGCAGCTTGTGTGGATCGGCGTGGGCATGGACGAGGGGGCCCTGCGGGAAATGCTGGACAGCTGCTTGCTGACGGATGAAGAGATGGCTCTGGGGCCGGAGGGCTGGGCGGGGGCATTTGAGGACGAGCTGCCGCCTTGGCAGGAGGGAGAAGCGGGGGAGGACGAAGAAGACTGGGGCGAGTGGGAGGAGGGGGAGGAGGGGGAGGAGGAGGGAGAGAAGCAGGCGCCCCGGTAGGTGGTGCCATCTTGGTGAATTCACCATCTGCTGGCCTGATCGCCCTTTCCCTACTTCTTCATGCAACTGCAACAGCCCGTTTGGTGTGTAACACTGGGCACACCCACATGAAGCGCCCCCCAACCCCACCACAGCTGGGCAGGGCGCGCTGCAGCGTCGGCAGCTGGGCCGTTGCGGACTGTTTGCTCACTTCAGTGACTAGGCAGCTGCTGTTAGCATGTGCCAGGACAGTCGACTCTGGTAAGAACTTGTGCTGAGTGGGCCTGCCTTGGCAAGTGTTGTCTAGTTCAGTGCACACCCGAACCCCATCACAGTCAGTGCTGATTCTACTCGACACAAGCACGCTCGAGGCGCCCCACGCATGCACAGCGGCAGCGCCGCTCGCGAAGAGAACAGGCTTGTTGCTCAAGCGCTTTTTTCTAAGAAGCCGCTTCTCCTGTTCTTCAAGGCCGAGGGCTGCAGTCTGTGCCGCGCGCTGCAGGATCACGTTGCAGATCTCGAAGCAACCAAGGGCGTCGCCGTCTGCTCTATCTCCACAGACGATCAGGCGTCATGGGCGCCTGAGGTGACACTCTGCCGCTCGTGCCGTCTGGGCCTGCTGTCCGCGCTCACATGCCGCCCGCTCTGATCGTCTAGCGACTCAACGCCGCTTGAACGCGCACCAGCTGATGCGCCCTTGAGCCCACCCTTCCCGCGACATGAACGCAACGCAGATGCTCCAGTACAACGTCGAGACAGTCCCGTGCTTTGTAGCCCTCGACGCATCGGGCCGCGCGCTGGCTAAAAGTGGCAAGCCGCGCGGCGTGCAGCACATGCGCCAGAGCCTCGACGCGCTCGCACGCATCCTCAAGCCCACCTAGAGTTGCGCCGCCAGCCATAACACTCGTCGCAAAAACTCCTGCTTTCTCAAAGACCTACGATACCCGTCGTGCCGTTGCCATTGTGAGGCAAGGTGGCCGCCCGCCCAACTCAGCGCCAGCGCTACTCCTCTCACCCGGGATCAGCTTGGCGGCCGAGGCAGAACTAGCCTCACCATCAGCAGTAGCAACGGCGGCAGCGGCAGGGGCAGCAACCATGGCTCCCCGTGATGATCGGCTGCTGGCCACGCTCAAGGCGGCGGAGCCGCGGGGGCCCAAGGGGCTGGCTAAGGCAGACCCAGGGGCGGCGCTGGCGCTGGCGGCGCACTGCTGCATGCTGGAGTGCGGCTTCCAGGTGCGACGTGCTTTCCTGGGCCACGTGCGATGCGGGGGCGTAGGCCGTGGCCGGGCCGCTGGTGCAGCAGCAGCCGCAGGGGAAGCAGCATTGCTGGAGACAGCCGAGAGGCCGCGCCGGCAACGACGCCAGCCGGCCGCCGCCTGCGGGCCGCGCGCCAGCCCTAGCGAGCTCACGCTCGGGCTCCGCGGGCGCCGCCGCACCGCGCTGCCCCTCCCTGCGGCACCCTTGCGCGGCAGGTGTCCACGCCCGGCGGCGCCGATTCAGACCAGCAGCGGCAGACGCAGGCGTCCCCGCCAAAAGGCTGGGAGCTGCAGTTTCCTGACGAGTGGGTGTTTGAGTACGTCCACCCCTCAAAGCTGGGGCGCTTCACGCTGCACTGCTCGCTGCAGCGCGTATCGGGACGCATGCTCGTGTCGGCCATGGAGGCGGGCGCGCCCGGCAATCACCACGTGAGGGGATGCCGGAGGGGGGGTTAGTGGGCCTTGGATGAGCTGAATGGGGGTGGGAGGTATCGCAGGAGGCGCTGGCGCTCCCTGGGTGGGGCCACACACGTCATGGAACGACGCGGCCTGCGCCAACGCATGGCGTGAATGGCGGTGCGCAATCGCTCTCAGCGCGCTGCGCGACTGCGATCTGTCGCACGACCCCACATCCTCCCTGATCCTCCATCTCCTCGCCATCAACAAACCGGCAGCTGCTGGGGCTGCAGCTTCCCAACTACGTCCCGGGCGGCGCCGCTTCGCTCTCCAGCGGCGACTGGGCCGGCGTCGTCGCCCGCCAGGGCCCCTTGTTTGGCATGGTGGAGGAGCACATCGTGACGCCCCTCATGGCGATGGCCTCAGACCTGCCGACCTCCGCCCCTTCAGAGCCGCTGATGCAGGCGGCTGGCAAGGGCAGCACCGAGCCGCGGCCGCGCGGCTGGCCGACGCTGCCGCCGCCTGGCAGCCCCGAGCGCGCGTACGTGCTGGGGGCGGCGGTGGCGGTGGGGGCGGCGCTCGCCGCGGGGGCGGTGGTTGTGGCGCGGCGGCGGCGGGCGGCGGGGGCGCAGCCGCTGCTGGGCTGGTGGCTGTGAGGGGCTGGGGCGTTGCGTGTGCGCCGCGTGGCGCTGCCTCGTCTCGCACTCAGGCCTGCTCTCTGCTTTTGGCACGGGTTGGGGATTGCAAATCCCCTTGCTTTGATTTGGCGCCGCGTTCGTCAACCATTGGGTTTACACACAAACACAGTGATCGGTTTTTGCACTCAACAAGACTGCAACTGATGCCTGTTGTCATCCATGATCTGGACTTGAACAAGAGCAAAAAGGGGGGGGCATGAGTTTGGAGGCGCGGTAAAATCATTGCTCGGTATGAGGCCTATGTTTTGGGTGGAAATTGGGCTCCGCCAAATCGCACCCCACCCAGTGCAACATCAACTGAGGGTCAAGGTTTGACTGATGTGTCAGGGAACGTGGTTAGCCGCGAAAGCCCTAAGACAGAGTGAGGCACCCAATCTTGTCCAAGTGCAGCCCCTGAAAGGAGGTTTGATGGTTGCGCTGCGGCGTGCACAGGCTATGTTGGGTGCACCCAGGCTCAAGAAGGTTTGGGGAGGCCCATGGCTTTGGTGCTGCTTGTGCAAACATGCAGAAGCAAGCAGCATACAGCTGCTGTATGATTGGAGGGCGCATTGCTCAATGCAGTGCTGGATTGTGAAAAGCCCAAAATGCGTGTGCTTGCGGGCCCGAGGGCGCTGGGTGGGTGCGCGGCTCACCCAAACTCTAGCCGCTCGCCTGCAGCACCCTTTCAACAACATTGATGAGCGGCTGACTTGTGCACTCCCGCAGAGCGCCGTGTCGCTCTGCAGACCCAACGCGGACTGAGTCTTTGCGCCTGCATGAGCTGACCCACCAGGAGGGGCCGCTGACTTCCTGCATGCGCGTCGCCCACACAATGTAGGGCGGCTGCACGGGCACAGCGCCCGAAGAGATTGCCAGCATACTATACACCATGAAACGGAGAAGAAGAGAGCACTCGCTTGACGGACAATCGCAGGCGGCCATCGTACCTTGCGGCAACCTTTCCTCCACCTCTCCCCCACCAATCAATGACACATGGGGGGGGGCAGCGCGGCCTCATGCATACCATCCTCCTCTTGTGGCGTCCGCCCCTCCCAGGCTCAAGAGACAGCTGATATGATTGACAGGGGTGTAGGGACGGTGCACCATCCACCTGCTATCCGGGGTGACAGACATTGCACGAGACTGGTTGCGCCCCAGAGCATCCGCGTTGTGCTGGGCTGCCACTGTCGTCGTCAGCCCCACTGGCCACGCTTGCGGCGGCGCCGCTGTCGGGTGTTCTGATGGTGTTGCTGCCTACACCCCAAGATGCCAAAGCTGCCATCTCACAGGACCTGCAAGAGCACCAGCTCTATACTGCACGGTTGTCGCGGTGTATCGGCTGCGGGGCAGCCGCCGCAGTCAGAGGGCGCGCGACCGGCTTGGGCGCAGCAGGGCGCGCCATTGCGAAAAAATCCGGTGCCGTGCGAGACGGCACGGCGTGCGCAGGTGTCCCGCGAGGAATAGTGAAGGGGGCGCAATTGCTGAGAGTGATGGCACCCGTGTCTCCGACCGCAGAGCCTGGCACTCGACGGCGGCTCGAGGCAGCGTGGTCGACGCACTGTGCCTCCGCAGCGGCAGGGGCGTCCCCTTTGCCACCAAACCCGGCCAGGGGCAACCCGTGGTCTGTGTGCAGTTGCTGCTGCTTTTCTGTGTGCGGCAGCCCGGCCTCCGTGGTGAGGTGGCTGACACCCTGGCTGGGCTGCTCAGATTTGTCCTCCGGCGCCAGCAGCCGCTGCGACCGCTGCTGCAGCAGCTGATCTGTCGCCTGCTCCACGTGCGGCAGCTCATCAGGTTGTTGGTGCTGCTGGGTCTGAGGTTTATAGACTGGCTGCTGCTGCTGCTGCTGCTGCTGCTGCTGCTGCTGCTGCTGCTGCTGCTGCTGCTGCTGCGGCGGGTGCTGCTGCTGCTCCTGCTGTCGCTCTTCCCCCGCTTGCTGATGAGTGTCCCCAACGTGCTCTGCCGTGACAATGTCGGCGCCGCGCCCATGGTTGCATTCACCATCGCTGCCACTGGCCGCAGACGCCTCCCTCGACCCATGATACGTGACAGAGTCTTTCGAAGAGTCCACGGCCAGCAGGGCGGGCTCTGCTTTGCCGTCTCCCTCGCGCATATCCTGAGAAGAGGTGATTGAGTTGAGCAGTGTGCCGGCCTGCGAGCTTCCGCCGCAGGATCCTGCCCCGAAGTTGTACGGCTGTATCTCGCCAACAGTGCTTTGGCTGCCACGCTGCCCCTCGCTTATAAGGTGCAAGGTGCAGCCCGCCGCCGCTGCGGCGGCCACTGCTGCTGCGACCGCCGCCTCTGCTGCCGCCGCAGCTGCTGCGGCTGCGGCGGTTGCGGCCGCACGTGGGCTTGCCAGCAAGCGCTCGTCCATTTCCATCCCGTGAAGCTCAGGCGCTGCTCGCCTGTGTCCATGTTCATGCTCATTCTCGGCGATGATGGGCAGGCCTCGGGATGAGGGGCGCCGCCTGCCGTAGCTGCCGTTGCTGCTCCGGCGCCGACGGTGCTGCTCAGGCTGCGGACGGGTGGTGTAAGAGGGTTAAGGGCAAGTGTGGGTGTAAGTGTCTTGCATGTTTGTGTGGGTGACGATGGGTGGGCAACAGCACTGAAAACAGGTGGGTAACAACACTTCGCATGCCCCCTCGACCACACCCGTACCAATTTGCGCGCACGAGCGCACTGACCTGCAAACCCTGAGTTGCACATTGTGACCAACCCGACAACACGCACCGCTCCAAGAACCGACCGGCACACCTACCCACCCGACAAACACACATGCGCCCCAGCTGCAGGTCTGCTTACCCCTCCCCCAGACACACCTCATAACCAACCACGCACGCATCCGGCCATACAGGTACGAAACGCACCGTCACCAGATCTGCATCGGCTTGGTCAAGCTTGATGCTGACAACCGGCGTCAGCGTCGGTCTCGCGCGCCGCCGCCGCAGCCCAATAATCACGCCCACTGCCACCGCCACCACGCACACCCCAATTGGCACCGCCACCCCCACAGCGACACCAACGTCCCGGCCTGGCTCGCCGCCGCCGCCGCCGCCACGCGCGGAGCTCGTGCCCGCGCTGCCACTGCCAGAGGCGCTGCTGCCCTCGGCGTAGAGGACGAGGGGGGCCTGCAGCCAGCTGACGGCCACGCCAGCGCGCAGGTTGACACCGGCGGCTGTGAGGGCATGGTTGACGTATTGGTAGTCAGCCAGCCACCTCGCCACGTCAGACGGCAGCCCCGCGTCAACCTCGGACTGCGAGAAGGCCACCGCCACGGCCACGTCGATGGCCGCGATTGGCGGGGACAGCAGGGCGGCTGACGGCTCGGGGGTAAGCGCGACGCCAGCAGCGGAGAGTGCGGCTGCAATGGGCTTTACGCAGGCGCCTACGGGGTTGAGAGGGCAAGCACCAGCAAGACATTGCAGTCAGGCATGCAAAAAGGGTTGCTGCAGTGCGCGCACGTTGGTCTCTCCTGCTGCCACCAATTTGCCCCGCCCAGCTGCCCAGGATACTGCGGGGTCGCTCAACACCATCTGACTGATGTGAACTCTGCACACTGCAAGTCCTGGTCAACTGCAGCCCAGCACCCACCCGGCAGCTTTTGTTGCACCTCAAGCCCGCCGCAGTTGCGCTCCAGCGACCGCTCCAGCACCGCCATGCTGCCGACTGCCAAGCCTGTGAACGTGGCGTACAGGGTGTCACTCCACACACCCTGGTCACCCGCATGCTGCTGCTGCTGCTGCTGCTGCTGCTGCTGCTGCTGCTGCTGCTGCTGCTGCTGCTGCTGCTGCTGCTGCTGCTGCTGCTGGAACTCTTGCAGGTGCCGCAGCTGATATAACCTCTGCGACAGTTGGCCGCGCTCCGTCCGCTCATCTGCCGCCCCGGGCCCGTGGCCCGCCGATGGTCCCAGCGGGCCCAGAAGCTGCTGCAGCCCCGCCAGTCGGCGCCCGAACAGCGGCGGCGCGGGGGCCGCCAGTGACATCGGTGCCGTTGGAGGGGCCGACGTGGTCACCAAAATCAGGGTGGGGTCGAATCCCAGGGCCAGGCTCCCAAAAACGGCGCTCAGGCTGACACTCAATTCAGGGCTGCCACGGCCCAGCTGCGCCCCATGCAGCTTCAATGCGAGGGTCACGTTCGCGCTGGCAGCGTTGCCGACCTGCCCTCGATCGAGGCCGGCTGTCTGCGAGATGTGCTCACTGCGGGTGTGCGCGTTAAGCGGTGCAAAGATCTCAGTGGTTTTGCTTTGGAGTCGCAATGCCCACACTGTGGATGAGCGGTGCAGGCCCCCACACTGCACACTCATCACAGCCGACCTGTTTGGAAGGCTTTCGCTATAGCTGCTGTGGGCGCCACCTTCATACTCTACCTGAACGCATCCGGCCGCCAGTTGCCTGCAGTTGTGCTGATGTCGATAATGTTGGACAGCCGCAGCCTGACCTCCACGCGCGCTGCAGCGGCCGTCGGTGCGTTCACGAGACGCTGCATGGTGGGGATGGTTGCTGGCGCCGGGTGCGGCACAGCTGCAGCTGTAGCGATGCCAGGTGGGGCACTGACCATGGCTGGTACGTATGTGTACACTGCCCTGCCGCCCACGATCGCCCCGCCGCCGCCCAAAACGATTGGCACTGGGTCCATCGCCAGCAGCCGAACCGAGGTCGCAGCCCCGCCGCTGCTGCTACCGCCCACCTCGCCTCCACTGCCGCCGCTGCCGCTGCTGCTGCTTCCACCGCCGCTCACTCTGCTGTCCCTGTCGCTGCCGCTGCCGCTGCCGCTGCCGCTGTCGCTGCTGTTGCTGTGGCTGACCCGGCTGGTGTTGCTGCTAGACACAAGATCAAGGGCAACGCCGCCGCGGCCTACGTCACCGCCAGTCTGAAGCACCTTGCGGAGGCCCGTAACACCGTCCTGTGCCACCGTTTCAGGTAAGAAGCAGAAAAAGGTGCTCATCAGGGCATGCGACGCCGCAGGGCCCCGCGTGCGCATCCCAGCCAACCGCCAGGTGCCCTTTCCCTTGGGTGCGGACCCCTGAGAGCTGCGGCCAGCTCCCGTGATGGCTGGATCCTTTTGGCTCGCAATCCCAACTGATTTGAATAAGTTTGGTTCATCACAGGTGGAGGGCATGCACTCACCATGAGCAGGGGTCCGTCTGCGCCGCCCGGGAACCTGCTAGCTTGCTCGCTGCACAGGAGGAGCGGTAGCGTGCCAACCATGGCGACCCCAAACAGGGCAACAGCCGCCTTTCGGCCAGCTAATTGATTGTAGTACACCATTCAGGCTGCTGCAACGGCACGATCACAGCCGTTCTCAAGCTGCTAGCGAGTGTTGGACCATCAAGAAGCCGACAAAGCGTTGCCACGATTGTTTGATTATATGTTTTTAATGCCGATCGCAAGCAGCGGACCTCTACTGACGGCTTTGAAGGGAAATTTGCCCCTCATCAGCCACCCGCGCGGGTTACTGCACGTTTCCACCTTGTACCTACGCTTTCACGGTACAATATGGCACCAATACTGGGCAACTGTACTTGTACATATGCACGTCGTGCCAAGGAGCACATGACTCGCAGGCAAGGAGGCGACCACGTCGGCGTTCCAGCGCCCGACACAGCCACAATGGCACGCATGGTCGGGTGTGGAATGGCCAGTCGCTCAGAGGATCTCGCGCGACTGGCGAGATACTTGCTACGCTTGCAGCTGCAATTTCCAGTTCAGGTTGTTACATCTCTTGGCTGCTTGTATGAGTGCATGCCCTCGCTGGTACAGTGGAAGCTCATGGCAGCCACGTTAGGCGGTACGATTGGATCCACGGTGGTACACCGAGGAACGTGCAGCAGAAATGCCACATGCCAAGGGAGGATGCAGGTCGCCAGGTCCAAATCAGATGTCTTCAGGTGGTGATTGGTGCGCCTTGGGCAAGCGTCCGCGTCATGCATGCATATGTGACATGCGTTTAAACCAAACATTGCTCCCTAGGACCCGTCAAATTTTGCCAGCAAGGTGTGATGGGCACATGGCCACTGCCGCTCAAGGCGTGACAGACACAACTCCGCAGCTGCTCAGGATCTGGCTGGTGGGCGAATTCACAGGGCTGTTGAGCACCTGCACACCAGCAGGAGGACCCCACCCTGTGAGGCCGACAGTCACAAAGCGCCACACATGCGGCGGGAACACTGCACCATCACGTGCCGCCACCACCAGCCAGTGGCCTCACGGCCTTGCGATCACTCTTTTCTCCACTCCGCCTGCCTCCTCCTGTCGTTCCTCCGCCGCTGCCGCCGCCGCCGCTGCTGCTGCCGCTCCCTGACGCCAGGCCAGTGCTGCCGCTGCCGCTGGCCAGCCTGAGCGACTCATCCAGGCCGGGCGCCACCCAGCTGCCGTCAGCGGCGACGCTGATGACGACGCCGTTCGCATGCGGCACTGCAGCGCCGGCGGGCTTCAGCGCGCTGCCGCTGGGAGTGCTGCCCAAGTCGGCACTGCCGGGGGCGGCTGAGAAGGTCGGGGGCGACAACCCAGCGCCAGAGATGGCTCCAAAATTGTAGTTGCCAAACGGCGAGGGGGCCGCACGGGTCGCCATCTTCTGCGCCGGCTTGGGCCGTGGCGGGATGGCGACGGCAGCGGCCGGGGCGGCGACTGGCGGGGCAGGCGGCGCCGCGCTGGAAGGGGGCAATTCACCCGACCCGAATCGGAAGAGGCGCCCGGCGCCCGTGCCGAGAGCTTCGCTGGAGGTGCTTGCGCTGCTGCTACCAGACGCCCTGCGGCTGAAAAGCGGGGCGTCGTCGGCCCC